TAATTAAATTAAATGTCACAAAACTAACAATGTTACAATAACTTTTCACTTATGATTTTTTTCCCAATATTCGTTTATCATTATTCTATTACTTTTGATATTCGATTATCCTTCTTTTTTTTATTCATATTCAACTATCATTACTATATTTGATTATGATAATTTGGTACATTGTCTCGTGTAAATGGAGGTGCCATCTTCAACTATATATTATATTATGTTGATATTCCAATATATTTGATTATGATAATTTGGTACATTGTCTTCACCATATATTCCAATATATTATAATTGCAATACATTATAGGCACAAAAAACTTAGTAACACACGTTAATAGATATAGAAGTAAAATAATAGTTTTATATATTATTAGTTTTTACATAAAAATTTCATTCTATCAATCAACTACAAATTTCACTTTATTTCTTACTTATTTTTTATCAAATCAATTCTCATATATTCTCTTTCATTCCCTTTAATTCTTAACCCTCTACATACCAATCTTAGTGTGAAGGAAAAAATGAAGAGGAAATTACATCTGAATAAATGTGACTCCTGTAGTGTTAACATGATTAAATGAATCATCTTAGTAAAGGAAAGATCTACAATGAGTAACTTAACACTAGAATTAAATCCTAATTTCACTAGATAGTTGGCACATTGATTCCCTACTCATAGAGAATTAATGAGTAGTCAACTATCTCATCCTTTGAAGTGCCTCCAACGTAACGAGGAGAAGTCACTACTATCGATAATAGATATTTCAGGGACGAACAAAAAGAAAATAGAGAATTAATGAGTTGAAAATGTCATTCCTCCCAGAGAAAGTCTTGGATATCACAATAGTTGCATACTGGTGAAAAAGGGGGTAAGAATTTTGTGAGGTGAATACCAAACGCTAAGCAATTACACACAAAATGTCATCAAAATTGAGGTTTGATGCTATTTGCAAGCCGTGCAAAATAGCTAGTCATTAAGCTTTGATAATGTGTGCCTGCCCCAATCTACCATAGAAACCTTTAATCCACCTACTTGCTTGATTGCAAAACAAGCCCCCAAAACCAACCATTTTCATAGTTCCTTGACAACTCCCATTTACCCAGAGGGAAACTTGTCCTTCACGAACCCAAGGATAGGTCACCTATCACTTTGCATGTTGATGGGTCATGGAGTGGTGAGTCTACACGAGTACCATAAAAAAATCTAAATCTAAAGTCAAATAGAGATACAACTAGTGCTATTATTTGATGATAAAGAATCACTTGATGTTAAAACATTTGGTTATTTTTGACTTTCCAAATCTAACCTGGGTACAAAAAATATAGTTTAAAATAATAATGATGATCTTCAAAATTAAAATTTAAAGAATAATAAACATAAAGAAGTACAAAATAAGCATTTAAAGAATAATAGAGATGGAGAAGTGAAATATAAAGGTTTCGAAAATTAAAAAAAAAAAAGGTATAAAAATAATGATTATATTACTTCTTTATAAAAGAATAATTTGATAATAAAAAATTATATATATAAAAGGAAGAGAGGTATCCTTACTAATTAAGGAAGTGTAAATATGAAAAACCTATATATATATATATATATATGAAAACTTTAGTTTTCATACAATATGAGAGAACGAATGGAGAAAAAATAGAACCACGGTCAGTGATAACTGTACGATAAAATAAACCATAAACAATCGATTCATTTAAAATTTAAAAATTATAATATGACTAGTATTTTAAACTATACACTACACAAATTAAATATTTATTTTAAATAGCCGTGCTTCATAATAAATAAATATTTTTAAATACATAAACTATATTATAATTAAAATTTTAAAAAATAAATATTTTTAAATATATAATTACATTTAAAACTTATAATAAATATCTTTTATTTTAATACAGTATAATATTAATTATTAATTATAATTAAAAAATATTAAAATTTAATTAAAAATAAAAATAAAAAAGATAAACCAAAAGAGATGAGAAGATTAAAAGAAATTCCTAAAAACAAACATCAAATAAAATCAACTAAAAATGTTGTCTTTATGAAATAATTCCTAAAATCAATCTTGTTCAAAATAATTATTTTAATTTATATATATAGTGATAACAAAAGAAATGATTTTACACCATCTAATCAACTATTATTGAAACTGGTCATTCATACCCACACTGATTTCTTATATGCAAATCTTCACTGATAGTAAATAAAATTTAGATTTAAATATGTTCAAATTATTTTTAATTAGGTTAATTTTCATATCACTATCTATTAATTTTATTTTTGCTTTAATTACTTGACAATTTTATTTTTTTAATTTAATACTTAATATTAGTCTTCTTCTATTAAGTAATGACGTGGTTGACAAACTGTCACGTCATCACCCATCAATGCCTACCATAGCATCTTAATGTCCACCTTAGTCTCCACGAGATCGTAGCAGACAGAAGCGACCTGGGTTCTGACGAGTCTCTCGACGATGCCATCTTTGTGCACTCTAAGGTGTGGAGGAACCTCCACCGAGATTTCTGGGTTGATCGAAATGTCCATGTGGGCCCAGGGCTTTTTCTTGGGCTAGGCGTTGGGTTTAGGTGAAGCGGCAGGCGTAGCTAGCGCTGCCGTTGAAGAAAACCCTAAACCCTCAATTCAACCAAATCCCCACCAAAATCACCCCCAACCTCGCCAAGCACCATCACCACGTCGCAGAAACACCTCTTCAACACATCGCGGATCCTTGTCATCAATCTCTTTGATTGATAGAGAAGTTGCTACTGCTGATGTTGGTGTTGGTGTGGGTGTTGCTACTAGTGTTGGTGCTGGTGCTGGTGCTGGTGAGGGTGAACAGCGTAGTGTGTTGTTGAAAGGCTTCTTTGTATGGGTGGTGAGCAAGTGCGAAGGCGCCATGGAAGGTGTGTAGTGCTGACTTCAAGGGCAACACCAATAGTGAGGAGCCGTTGTTGCGAAGGGACACGTTAAGCGAGGAGAAGTTGGCAAGAATGATGACGGTGCCAGTGGCAGCGATGATCATGGACTCCGCTCATTGGAGGAGCCACTCGATGGTCTCACCATCAGATTCGTGGTCGAAAACCTAAACCCTAAAAATTTCAAATATGACGTGGCAAATTACGTGGAAAATGAGGTGGACATAGATACTAAGAGCACCTCCGGCGAGAGTGCTTGTGCCGTGTCTTAAAAATAAGCAACGGAGCTTATTAAAAACTCTAATTAAAGTGATCTTACGTGGCACTTGAGTTGCTTAAAAAATTTTCTGTGTTGCTTGTACAAGGGACGTTGCTTAGCATTGAGGAGAGAAATCTGATCGGTTAAAATATATCAGTGGATCAGATTTAAGAAAATAAAAAAAACTGAAAAAAAAGGTCTCCTTCGCGCGACACCCTCCGCACGACGGACCACCCTCCCCGCGCGCAGCTCTCGACCGGACCTCCTTCCCTCGCGCGGCTCCGAGCGGACCCCCACCCCGTGCGCAGCTCCCAACTGGACCTCCTTCCCCGTGCGCGCAGCTCCCACCTGACCCCCTCCCCCTGCGCGCGGCTGCCGATCGAAACCCCCTCCCCTGCGCGCGTGGCTACCGACCGGAACCCCCTCCCCCGCGTGCGTGGCTCAGCAAATAGAGAGAAAGAGAGACGTTCCTTTGAGAGAAACAGAGACTGAGGAGAGAGACGTTGCAATTTTTTTATTATTGTAATTTTTTATTATAATTTTTATTATTGTAATTTTATTATTGTAATTTTTAATATTATTTTATTATTGTAATTTTTTAATTGTAATTTTTATTATTGTAATTTTTGGTATTTTTTTATTATTGTAATTTTTTAATTATGTAATTTGTTTTGTTAATTATTTGTATTTATATATTATTTATAATAATTAATTTTATAAAAATATCATAAAATGTAGTGTGAAGTGTCAAAAAGTGTAGTATGAGTTATAAAAAAGTAGGGGTGCTTATAAGCAATTCTCATTGGAGCAAAAATTGTAAAAATATAGTATGAGTTACTTAAGAATGACGTGACATAGTAGGACCCATTTAAAGTGATTGGGAGTTGCTTATAAACAATTCACATTGTAGATGTTCTAACATGACATACATTGTTGAGTGCTGACATGACATACATTATTGGGTGATGACGTGACAGTCTATGAGCTACGTCATCATTTAACAAACGAGGACTAACGTTAGATACTAAATTGAAGAAAAAAAATAGTCAAGTAATTTAAACAATTTTTTTTAATAAGTAGGAATCCAAAAATCAACCTAATTTAAAGTAGTTTGAACATATTTAAGTCTAAAATTTGTGCTTAAATATTTTCACTTCATAAAAAAAATATTTATTCACCATTTTTTTTTATTCTTTACTTTTTATTTGGCCGGAAAGATGGGCAGTTACATACCTCCACCTACACCAAGGTTATGCAAACCCTATCCCTCACAAAAAATGGCGTAGAGGAAATTACCAAGCCCAAAAATATCCATTAAGAGGAAAAAGTATGAAGAATAATGCACCAGTAAAATCACATTCAGCGAAAACTCCATCATGCCTGATTGAGCAGTAAAATTCTCACACGTGATAAAACAAATAAAAATGTGTTATTCTTTAGATTAAATGTTGCATCACTAACATTAATGATCTCTAGTTCTAAAGGAAAATCTACAAATCTGCATTGCAATATCCATTCTCGACCCATAAAGGATCAATCATATAACCAAAATGGAACTTTATCCATGTATGTGTGCAAATGTCACCAACAAAGACAATGAAACACAAAGATTACATGTTGCCACTAATTAGTCAAGGCTTGATTAATTCAAAATTTGTTGCATACATCTTTGACCTTAGGAGGAGGACCAAATAATATCCATTCTCAACTCATAAGGATCAAGCATATAATGATATAACCAAAAAGGAACTGTATCCATGTATGTATGCGATTGTAACCAACAAAGACAATGAAACACAAAGATTGCATGTTGCCACCAATTAGTCAAGTCTTGATTCATTCAAATTTTGTTGCATACATCTTGACCTCTTTAAGAGGAGGATCAAATAATAAAGAACATACCTGTCTTTACATCTGAGTTAAGACAGCATTTTATCTTCTTTTTTTTTTCTCCAAATACATTAATGATGTCATCAGTCCTTGAATGCTGTCATAAATCCTCAACAATCAACTACACCACTTCTGTCTTAACAATTAAGAATTAGTTCAGATGAGCATAAAAGCTACTCTCTGGTAAAGGAACCACAATCATATCATTCCAGCAACTTACCTTCCCCAACCAAGGTACATGCTACAACCATAAAAAATCAAATCAAAAGATCCCACATTGGCTCCTTGTTTTCAGCATAACTAAGATTCGTGATTTAAGATCTCCCTAACTTCATTTTCAATCAAGAATTTTCACTGCCCTGTCTAAAACCATCCCATGATAAAAATGGAAGAAAAATTAAATTAGAAAAAATCAAAATCAAAAAGAAAATCAAATCTCTAAGTCCTAGCACGCTGAATGCTAAAAGCACTGCTAACTACCACTTTGCATTTCATCCTGTTCCTGTATGCTTCTGCTTCCTCATCTCTATTATCTTCCTGTGGGAATTAGAATGCAAATCACTACGAAAAGTCGGGCTACTTGCAGGACGGTACTCAGGCACGAGCCGCCCAGACTTAAACCTAACCCCACATGCATTACAAAGTGTTTTTGGCCCAAGGGGACCTGCCCTCCATTGTGGAGTTTTTTCAGCTCCACAGTGCTGGCATTTCCTACCAATGGGCGAGATTTGTATTCCTTCTTCTGCTTTGGAAATTTCATTAATTGGTTGTCCTCCCCATACTGTCTGACTAGAGTTGTCAGCATTGCCAGGGCGACGCCTATTGCGAGTCTTGCTCCGCGCACGGACTGGGACCTTCAGGTGATCACAGCTGTTTAGGAGGGAGATACTATTAGAGCTGTTATTACTGTTGCTACTGCTTGTGCTATTCTCAAGTACTGGGGCTGTTTTTTGGTTCTTGGTTGTGTCTGGTTGAATAGATGATAAGTCAACAAACGTTTCAACAGCAGGAAATGCATCTTTGTTGGATAGCCATTCAAGATCCTCTTCTGCGAACTCCTGGAGCATGAGAATAGGGGAATGTTAAACTTCCTAAGAATAATAAAAATAGGTTTTTCGTGTCAACACAGGCATCAGACCCATGAAATTAGTCATGGATGTGCAACCTTTGGACAAAGAAAATTTTGTCCACACTGTTATTTTCTTCTGAGCTGAGAAACATAAGGCTCCACAATATGGAAACCGTGGAACCATAGTGATTATCACAAATATATGAAAAAGTATGATAAAAAGATAGAATATATTGTAATTTGCCAATATAGGATTTCCAATAAAATGATGCTAAAAGAAAGAATAAGTAAAAATATGCGCACCGGATATTATTCTAGTTTTGCTGACAAAATAGAAGAGGAAAATACCCCCATCTTCAGTGAACATACACAAAGAAAAAATGATGGTTGATTAGTTGCCTTACAATTTTGATCCTTTATCTTATTTTTTAGATTCATTTTGGTCTTTTATTTTTTAAAATGCCTATTTTGGTCCTTTATCTCATAAATTTAGGTCAATTTAGTCATTTCGCATCATTTTTTAACTGATTTAAAACTTGAAATTTATCTCACAAGATTCACTTGTATAAAAACTATTGAATGCAATTGAAGTTCAAACCAAATGTGTTATAAATATAGTGAAAATAAAAAATTTCAAGAAATCTATTTTCATATTATTTTCTACTTGTTCATGAGATACATTTTTCATATGATTTTCATTATGTATATTCCCTTTTAGATTCAAATGTCAATTGCATTTCATAGTTTTCATATAGGTGACTCTAATGTTATAAGTTTTGCGTCTTGAATCAGTCAAAAATTGATTCAAAATCATGTCATAGAATTGAAAATAATCATTATTTTAAAAGGATCAAATTGATTTAAATAAAAAAGATAAAGTACTAAAATGAACATTTTAACAGATAAAGAACCAAAATGAATCCAAGAAATAAGTTAAAGGACTAAAATTATAATTTAGCCTAAATAAAACTAGTATATGATCACACTTGTCCTTCAACAAAGCCTGAACCCTTATAAAACAAGTTGAAAGGTAATTAGAAACCTTGTATGCTCACTAAATATGCCCCATATATCTTCTGGAACCTACTCCCCCAAGCCAATACAGTTCAATACCCAAGTTCGTTGTGTTACTCTTTTTGCAATCACAGAAGCCCTGACAAGGTTAAAATCAATGCACTATTTTCCCATGGCCTCATAAACATTCCTACAAGGTTAAATCATAATATCAGACTTACAGAAAGTGATTGGTTTAGATCATCCAGGTCCAATGAGTTAAAGAATGATGGATCACCACATTTTGAGTTAAGTGAAGGACAGGCTTTCCTAGATTTTTCATCATCATCATCTTCCTGACCTATGTCTGATGCAAACTCCAAGAGGTCATCCACGGAATCAATGGTCTCCATCCCTGGAAGGAAAGACATGTTGAAGCTTAAAAGTGCATTTATAGAGAGAGAAAATAAAGGAATGGAAAGAGATGTGCAAACAAAATACATAAAATAGTGAGGAGCTTGGCATACCGGTATGTGGTGTAAGAAAGTACAAATTTCTCAATGTTTAAATGAAAAAATTAAAGCCAGCGTTGAAATGACAAAACTAAAGTCATAGAGTAAAAGGTTTAAGCTCTTAAAAAACAGAGTACAACTGCAATTTTGCCCACAACATCAAGGTTTTTGAGGTGTCCACAGCTGCAGTACAGCCACAATTGTGCGCACATTGGCCACATTTGTACACAATTTCTCGCGATATCAAGAAATGCAACAAAACCACAAACCACAATTTAAAATCTGAATAATGTTTTGCTATATTCTATGGAAGTTTATGCCAACTAGCTCTAATCCGGACTAAATTTTTATGGCAATTGCAAGCTATGCTACTATTTGGTGCATTTAGTAGTGCGGTGGTGTGTAACATTTTTAAGGACAATTCACTACCTCTACAATTGGTATTCAATTAAGAATAGACCATTGAGTTCTATTTGGTGTAAAGCACAAACTCTTTCACAAAGTGCTTCTTTAACACATAGGCCAGACAAAGAATTTTAAGCTTTCATTCTTCATGAGATTACTCAGATTCTTAGTTATTTCTTTGTTCCAAAATAACACAGCTATAACATATTTATATATACTGTAGCCCTTTGTTATTCCACAGTGCAACTTTCTTGAGAATGCATAATTTTTTCATGCAGAGGAAAGTCACAAATTCAAAATGGCAGCAGAAAAATAAAATAAAATAAAAAATAAAAAAGAAGGAAAAATAAGGGTTACGAACAAAGATTATGAGAAACAAAAACATGGGTAAGAACCAAAAGAACAAAAGACTCGGACTTACCAGCTTTTCACGTTTTGTGTACTTGAATTGCAGCAGCAGAATGAGAGAGATGAAAGAAACCCCAGAAAGAGAGTTGAGTGTGAGAACAAGAGATGGTGAGGCACGTGTAAGGGATTAGGGAAGGCTATGTTGGGATTTTTATTCTTACCAATGTTTTCTTTTGTCTTTTGTCTTTTTTTTTTTTTTTTTTTTTTTTCAATATGTTGTCCAAATTTTTCTTTATCATAAGTAATAAAAAAATTCATACGATTTTTTTTATAAGGAAAATAGTTTTCATGATAATATTTCATAAAACTTTCTTCCTTTCTCAAAAAAAAAAATAATAATAAATTTTATGATGAGTTTATGAAAAAATAATTTTCTATTTAAAAGATTTTTATTAAAGTTGAGAAAAAAGGTAATTATTTTTTAAAATAATTTGACCAAAATAGTATTTAAAATTCAATTTCAAGGTTATAATTTGTCTAAATTTGTCAAAAAAAAATTTATTTTTAAATTTCTTAAAATATTATATTATTTAATAAATGAGAATCTCTAACTTTAATTAAATGTTAAACATAAAGATATTTCATGATGATTTTTTCAGATATATATAAATTTCGGGATCAAAATCATGATTATGTGATTAAGAGATTCAAATGTTTTTTCATTTAAAATAACACTCATTTGTAATGCGAGTTTGTTTCTGTATATAATATTTCTTAAAAAAATGTTTGATGATATATATTAAAATAGTATGCCTATTTTAGTATTTTAAGTTTCGCATTTTACGAGTTAAATGTTTAGTATATATAATTAAAATTTATAATAAATTATATATATAAATAAGTATTTTATTTAAATATATTAATTATAGTTAATTTTATATAAATAGTTATTTTTAAATATATAAATTATATTTTAAATTTAAGATAAATAATTTATATTGCATCACAAAATTATTTTTAATTATTAATAATTTATTTTTAAAATACTAAAAAGTTAATTCATAAATAAATATTAAAAAAAATAAAAAAAATGAATTAAATAAGAAGTTAAAAGAATAATTCCTAAAAATACTTTCAAGAAAAATAATTATTTGTATTTAATATATAGGGACGGATACTTAGAAGTTATGGTGGTGAGTATTTTTTATTTCACTTGACAAAGGGATTTGCTTGTATGTTTTAAAAGGTTCAATAATTGCTCAACTTAATTGAAAAGATCATAATTACTAGTCTATTGTAACATTGTGATTTCGCTTTTATGCCTACTTATATATGTGATTTATGATGTATTGTGATGTTTTAAGTTGTTGTGTTGTGATTGTTGTTAAACTCACCCATTGGTAGCTTGAATTATTGATTTTGAAGTAATTTTTGAAGATGATGAAGTTAGGGTTTTGAGGGAGAAACACCCAAAACCCAAAAATATTAAATTTAAGTTGGATTCATATTGCATGTTGAGGTTAAAGGTGACTTCTAGTTGTTTATGTTGTTGATAACCATTTTCGTGGCTTGCATGAGGTGTGGAGTGACTAGTTTGAGCTGGGAAGGTGCATGCACAATTGTAGAAAAGGTTAAAAATATGACGCTTGGTCAAAAGTTTCTTAAAATGAATTAAGTTTTTGACCATTGGACCAAGTTGCATATGTAACCAATTATTGAATTTTGGCAATCAATTGCCTAATGAATAAGTGTAATATGGAAAAGAAAAACTTGTTTTAATTGGTTACATGACGATGTAAACGATTATATTACACGTATTTAAGTTATGGATTGCAACTATGATCAATTTATCAATTACAGCAACATTCTTTTTTATATATATAAACCCAAACACCTTTCATTTTTAAGATGATGAGTTCAAATACATTCTGAAACACATGAAACTTTTTGATAGAGAAAATATGTTTTCTTCAAGAAAGTTCAAGAGAGTAAATACATGTGAGTAAAAAGTTTTGTGAAAGATAATTCATTGTGGAAATGCTACAAAGCTTTCATAAACCAAGAAAAAGTTTCTTTGATAATAAGAAACACAATCAAAGGAAAGCTTCACCACTTAGGTCATTTCATTCTTTGCTTTTATTTTCAAGAAGTCAGGGTAGATTTCTTGTGTTGTTTTAGAATTCCATTTAGGGAGATTGTTCTCAAGATAAGGATTCTTGAGTGTACAAGTTAAGGAAGGGTTCCTAAATTAGAGCTTGTCCAAAGGTTTCTGTAAGCATTATGGAAATGCCTATGATCAAGGTGTGATTGGTTTGGTTTGTAATACATTTTTCCCTATAGTGGATGCCCCGTAATATAGGTTGATTATGGAAGATTGGATATAACTTTATGAGGAAAGTGAACTAGTATAGATTGATGTGTGAATATTTTAATTCCATCTCTCATTTTCTTGTTTATCTTGTCTATGCCTTAGAGTTCTTGAAATCTTCTTTAGATGTTTATAGGTGAAGTTATAAGGCTACCTCTTAAAAGAGAAGTGAAGTTTTGCATTGACTTAGTTTCAGGTGCGGGACTAGTGTCAATAGCTCCTTATAAAATGGATTTGACTGAGCTATTTAGGTTGAATAAGCAAGTTGAAGATCTTTTGGAGAAAGAAAATAGAACATACATATAGATACACTTGTATAGAAACATATTATCTATAAATTTAGTCTTTCTTGTATATGTTCACTGCTTTGTATTGGTTGTACAATGTTTAAGTGAGGCGAACACATCATTAATGCAACCTTTCATAACCATTGTTTTGAGCTTGGAGAGACTTTTCTGAAAAAGAATAGTTTCTTTTAAACTTAGAGAGGCTTGACTATAAAAAGATACTTGGTTGTTAAACTTGGAAATGCTTGTTGTTAAAAAAATACTTAGGTAGTTACTTAAAAAGGCAAGTCAAATAATACTTATGGTTGAATCAGAAGTGGCTTATTGGAAAAATACTTGTATCTTTGTTTTAAAGATAGTGAAACTCAATCTAGTTGAATTGAGAATTGGACATAGTCTAGGTGGTTGAAACGAACTAGTATAAAAATATATAATATTCCACCTGACTGCTCTTTGCACTTCATTTGACTAGTGTTATTAATTCACTACCAAAATACCATGATAGTAGGTTTGATGTGTCCATCAATAAGGATATATGTATAGTCAGAGAAAATGATGAGACTCAACTCTTCAATGCTAATAAGAAAAACAATTTATATAAGATTAAGCTAAATGAACTAACAAGTCAAAACGTAAAGTGCTTGGTTTCAATTAAAAACTATTGTATGTGGCATAAGAAACTTGGAAATGCAAGTTTGAGATTAATCTCAAACTTGAAAAAGTATAACCTCATGAGATTTTTCCAAATCTTGCTCACTACTCTAATGATCTTTACAAATCTTGCCAAATGGGGAAACAAGTAAAAATCTCATTTAAATCAAAACATTGTTTTGACCTCTTAGTCATTGGAGCTTTTACATATTGACCTGTTTGGTCCAACCAAAACTACGTATGTCAATAATAAGAGATACGAACTAGTCATAGTGGATGACTATACTAGATGGACATGGGTTTTATTCTTAACTCACAAGGATGAGTCTTTCAAAGTCTTTCATATTTTCTGTAAAAAGAATTCAAAATGAGAAAGGCATATCCATTGCATCTATTAGGAATAATCACGCTTGTTAAGTCAAAAGACAATCTTAGATCTCTCATGTTTTATAAGTTTTAATAATAACAAATACTACATTTTTTAGTAAGAAAACGCCTTGTAAAAAGTTGTCGTTTCAAATTGTGTAAGATGAAGTGGTGTTTGCAAGACAAAACAAATTAGACAAACTATACAAATTATTTCTAATGATCATTATTTATTGTGACTGATGATTTCAAATATTCAAATGAATGATTTATACTTAACAAATCGAAAGTTGTTGTCTTGGAACTCACATTTTGTTAAAAAGTGTATAAAAGCATGATGAGTAGCAAAGCAAAGGATAAAGATCTTAGATTTCACAGAAAAGGAATTGAAAAAGGACTACATTCTTGCCTGCATGTTGACTTTGCTTCCTGTTATTTCCATTTTGCTACTTTGTTCTAATAAGTAACTTGATCTGTCAAAGATAAGGAGTATATGTTTAGGTGAAAGACATTAACTAAAGCATTTAATGCACAAATAGATACTTCCTCTCTCTAAAGATCAGACGAAGGAGAAAGACAAAGTAGTTTTATGAATCAAGCTCAAGAAGTTGCAAAGATCATCTCTTGCAAAGCTACTATATAAGAAGCTTTAAAACTCAAGAGAAAATAACAAGCATGATAAAGAATAGAAGTGTAAATATAGAAAAATACTAAGATACAATAAATGCCTCTTAGAAGATCTTCTTCAAGAGTTTTCTTGTACTTAAACAATTTGTTGTAATCATGTCTAAAAGAGACGACAACTACAACCTTGTAATATCTTCATAACCATTACTATAGGGTATAGCCTATAGAAACTTGACTATAAAATAATACTTGGGGTAGAGCTTAAAGAGGTTTGATTATAAAAGAATACTTGGGTTTGAGTCTAGAGATATTTATTTGTAAAAGAATACTTAGGTAATGGCTTGAAAAGGCTAGTTAAAGAACACTTGTTTGAGCTAGAAGTGGCTTGGTAAAAGAATACTTGTAAAATCGCTAAAAGTTAGTGGAACTCAACCTGGTTGAATTGAGAACTGGACGTAGCCTCAGTGGTTGAGGTGAACTAGTATAAAAATATTTTGTGTTCATTGATTATTTTTACTGGTTCTTTGTCGGTTGTAGATACTACTTCACATACTTGAAAACATGAGAGATTTTGATATACATTATTCACCCACTTTCTAGTGTCTATCTTTTCTCCATAACATGGGTAAATTTGAAAAATAAAAGGTTTTCAAGGGTTCTATAAGGAGAACAAAATTCTCCACAACTTACCTATGCCACGAACACCACAACAAAATGGTATGATTGAGAGAAAGAACATGTCATTGCAAGAAATAATTAGAACCATGTTGAATGATAATTCAACCCCAAACACTTATATGCAGAAGTAGTGAATATTTCCTGTTATTTATAAAACATGATTTATATAAGACTTGTCCTTAACAAGAATCCTTATGAATTGTGAAAAGGACGCAAATCCAACATATTGTGTTTCCACCTCTTTGGATGTCAATGTTTCATACTAAACACTAAGGACAATCTTGGTAAGTTGGATTTTAAGTATGATGTTGGAATGTTGTTTGTCTATTCAGAAATGTCTAAAGCATACATTCATTCATCATTCGTAAGCAACAAGCCACACTATATATATATATATATATATATATATATACACACATATAAACACACAAACACATCAATTATAAACAATACTTGTGCAATGAATCTTCCTAACTCTATCCATGTGGTATAAATTTTCTCATCATCATCAAAAATACAAAATAGTCTAAGAGTAATGGAATGGGTCCACCCCATCGAATCATGTAGGGACCATCCATCAATAGTCATCCCCTTGAACCACCTCAACTAGGGGATGTCTATTAGGATCCTGTTGAAGTATTACAACTAGCCATGGTAACTTTCAATTCCCGTTATAGGTTTTCCCACCATAACACTCCTTGGGGCACAGGTAAATGACCTATAATATCCCACCTGCATAGACTCACTATCTCACAAAACAAATTATTAATGCATGGAATCAATACACTTGACACAACAACATAATATGCATACTCAACTCCTCAAGTGTCAGTTTGCAGCACTAGACTTATTTATCATATTTCATCATTAATATTATCATAATATACAATAATTTGATTTCTCATTTGTTAGTCCACAACACTAGACTTATACATCATATCTCATCACATTACTCATAGTAATTCAACTCATCATACATCTATATAACTTCTCATACAACAACATCTTCAAACAACATAACATTATACATTATTATTACTTATATTATTCATTCATCACATATTATACATTGATGAGATGTATTTAATGCTTGCAATAAATGAATCAACAGTTGCCTGACATTGTAAGGAAAAACGATGAAGACGGACAAAATAAACTTGTGAGCTAGACTCAAAGTGTTCTAATAGTCATCTTCTCCACCGGAAAAGAGAAGAGACATAACATGCAGAAGAGACTAGTATAGAAACATACACTTTGTAAATTATACTTATGTATAATCCTTACTCTTTCTTGTAAAAGTTTACTACTCTATATTGGTTGTATAATGTCTAAGTGAGACAAGTAAAAAATTTGAGTAACCTATATAACCATTTTTATAATGTTGAGATTGAAGAGGTTTGTCTATAAAAAAAATACGTATTTTGAGCCTAGAGATACTTGTCTAAAAAAGAATACTTGTTTTAAACCTATAGATACTTGTCTGGAAAAGAATACTTATTTTGAGCTTAAAGAGGTTTGATTATAAAAGAATACTTGGTTGATAAGCTTAAAGATGCTTGTTGTAAGAAGAATATTTGGGTAGTTGTTTGAAGAAGCAAGTTAAAGAATACTTAGGTTGGGCCAGAAGTGACTTGTTGAAAGAATGCTTGTATCTTTGTTGAAAGATAGTAGAATTCAATCTAGTTGGATTGAGAACTAGATGTAGTCTTGATGGTTGAGAGAAACCAATATAAAAAATACTCAGTGTTTTGTTTGACTTCTCTTCATACTCTATCTGACTAGTGATACTACTTCACTATGTTAAAAGTGCGAGTTTTTGATATACACTATTCAATTCCCTGTCCAGTGTTTATCTTTTCTCCACATGATTATATAATAAATAATAATAATTATGTAAAATAAGACATTTCATATTCCTAATATAGTAAAGACTTAAATATGTTTTTAATTCCTATAAAATTATCAAGTTTTGATTTTAGTTTCTGTAATATTTTTCTATGTTTTTCATCCCTATAAAATTAAAACCATTTTTATAGCCTCTATTTTTATATAATCATTTTTAAACTATTTTTTATTAATAAAAAGTTAAGTAACCATTTTAAGTATTATCTACAACAATTAATAATATTATATTGATATTTAACACTTTTAAAAAAATTTATAAGCCTTTAAAGTAAATTTTATTTATCCACCTTAAAATAATCATTAGAAACTAAAAATAGTTAGTTTAGATTTTAGAGGGATGAAAACCAAATAATTTACAAGGATCAAAATCAAATTTTTCAAGGACCAAAAATAATATTTATAAATTTTAGAAAGATGAAAAAAAAATAGAAGAATAAAAATCAAAATCATCAATTTTATAAAGATTAAAAACATAGTTGAGCTTATAGTAAAAAAAGTGATTTAATTGTTTTTTTATAACTTTACAAATTTTTTTTTTTACTCTTTATAATTAAAGCTATTTTATTTTAATTTTTTAGATTTCATATTTTTTCTCTTTAGGATTAAATCGCAAAAATTTAAGTGATTATAGAGATTAAAAAGTTTAAAATAATTTATGTAAAAATTAAAATGCAATTTTTTTATTCGCAGAAATTAAAAAGTTAAGTTCATATACGAAAAAAATAATTAAATATTATAAAAAAAGCTAAGAATTGATGCCTGGCTACTTCATCCATACTTTGTCTCTCTGTTTGCATACGTGGCAACTTTCAAGAACTCTCTCTTACTAGTTCTAGCACCAACCTTAGCACAACTGGGTAACACAACACCTGTTTACTTCTTCTAACTTTCCGAGGTTTGCAGAACCCACGAAGCCAAAAATGAAAATTTAGAAGCATTTTCATAGAAGAATCATGAAAGGGTTAGGTCCTCATGCTCCTTTGGTTTCAAGGGGAAAGCCTCCTCCTTCGTTGGCAGTGGTGGATGCGTTGCCATTCTCTTCTTCTATCTCTAGAACCCCCATCCTATACCCATGTAAGTTCTAACCAATAACTATGATGTTTTCTTACACCCCATTTCAAAAGTTTTCATTTCGGAGTGAAGTTTCAAGTCTGAGGTTATATTCTCTTCTCTTTAGTCTTGTGATCTTGTCCATTAGTTTAAAATTCACATGGATTTTTCTGGCAAGTATTATTTGAATGTATTTTTCTTTTTTTGGTTGGAAATGGAAAGATTTTGCTTAGATGGTCATCCAATTCAGGTGGGTCAAGTCCTACATTTTCACCCTTTGGGTGGTTGATAAGAAAATTATGTGTTCCAAGTAATTATGTTAACAAACTTAAGATTTTATACAGTGGTTGTTACTTTTTTCAGTTGTAGTTTGAAGTGATGTTTTCTTGTCCTCTGGAGTTCAATGTTATCCTTTTTGATAGTGAAATTGGCGAGATAAATGCCTTGTTTAAGTAATTGTAGTTCTTGTGTCATACTAGTCATATGCTTCCCACTGATTCTGATCCTTGATGTCTGAATGAAATCATGTGTATGGATTGTGTACTCTCTCACATTTACAAGGCTGACTTTTATATGAATTTCATTCTTGGTACTTATGTTTGTTGACTTAATGAGTGACATTATGCCTGAATTATGTATAGCAAGATGCAGAAAGAAATCCAGGTTGAGCTGGGCCCAAGGCACAATTCGAGCCCAAGCATCCAATATTAGTGGTGTTGAACCTGGAGATTATGGAAGCAATAATGAGAAAGATGGCCAGAATGTCTTTGAAAGACATGCTATTGACGATAGTTCTTCTAAAGTGTGAGTTCCACTAGGTTGATTTCATTTGCTATGCAAGATATGGATATTTAGAGCTTCACAACATGAGATGAAAGGTGGCTCTAGGAACATATCACGATAGACTTTTGGTCTTGACACTATCAGTGGCAAAATGTTTGGTTTTATTATTGTGTTCTCCCTTGAAATCCCAGCTTTTGCATGTGAGATTGTGTTGTAAACTTGCCAAATCATACATATATACTTATGAAATTAAGCAGTGGCAGAATTATGCAGTTCTGTTCTTTTATTTCGTTTTTATTTATTCATTTATACTATTAATGCTGGTATTAGAGTTGAGGCTTCTGATACACAAAGCAACCAGCCATAATTCTAATTCCTAACCAGAAAATCTGAAGTTGGCCACACATGAGCTTTGCATCAATAAACCTGGTTCTTCTAGATCACAACAGTCTTTCTCCTCCCCAATTATTTGTAATCAGTCTGACCCTACTTAAGCATGGGAATTTTGTGTTGCTTTTGTTCAAACAATCTCATTCTTGGATGATCCTCTTCTAGATGTTGGATCTAATCAAAGCTTGAATTTGTGCTACTATTTTTCTATTAGAAAATTGCATTCATTCTTGCAATATAACCCTTATCATATGCCTCATACTGGATTAGCCTAATGAATCTATTCAAGGGCGAAATATATTCCTTTTGTGGCTGAGATATGAAATATATATACTATATAAGGTAATACTTCGAAGAGAAAATTGGCAGTAATGCAGTATTCACATCACCATTGCAATAGTAAATATTAGTTGTTTAGGTCAGTGTTATCAGAACCGGATTGGTAATCAATTGGGTCATGACACTAGGTCAGTAGGTCACTAGTTGAACCACATCAACAAGTATATTGCTAGATGCATAATTTTATATAAGCTGTATAATATAAAATCTAATTTTGTCATTGATATACTAAAGTGGCTTGTTGGTGTAGTGGTTCCTTATCTTTTAAATAACCAAGGGAGTTGAGTTCTACTTCTACCAGGTTCAAATCCCCTCCTAATTTTTTTTCTGAATTTCCAAACACCAATCTGATACGTCATCCAGGGTGAAATGCATGTCCAATCTAAGAAGAGGAGCGGACTGGTAATGGTTCCAGTTTATCCAGTCGGACCAGCTGGTCTGGTCTGAGTTTAATAAAACTGGTTTAGGTCACACATGCAGTTCATTCAAAAAGAGAAAAACTCTTGAATTTATTCAGAAGATTGACATTAGAGATTATGTCTATTGATTAGTTTAGTTCAATGATTTAACATATTATTCAATTATTTTCAATTGATTTTTTTTTTTGTATAATATGATTATTCATGGTTCTATTACAATTCTAATGCAAAAATATTTTATGGTTTTGCAGTGTTAAACCTCCTAATCAGATCCCATATCCTCTCTCTGTAGCTTTTGTGTTGTTTGGATGCACTCTCGTGTTTTCACTAATAGCCTTTGTGAAAGGGGGATCTTCATCAGTTCTAGCAGCAATTGCAAAATCAGGATTCACTGCTGCATTTACATTAATATTTGTTTCTGAGATTGGAGACAAGGTAATTTACTATTATTACCAAGGCTTTTCTTTTTGTTTACATTATTAACTTCCCGAATCCCATTTGATTCTTGCTTGTGGCAAAAAATTATTTTTTTAGAGGCTCAACATACTTATTTAGGTATAAATTAGTTCCCAGTACTGTGGATAAACTAGTTGAGTTTGTCAAGTACCTCTCACCCACAGGCTTTAGGTGTCTGGTGGAGGCTCAATAATGGCTTTTTTATTTCCAATACACCCCATGCTAAAGACCTTTAGCTTCAAGCACAATTCAGATGTTTATTTTTTGAAGTCCTTCTGTCGATTATTAACTTAATTATGAAGAATGTGGGTGCCAAAGATTAAACTGTCATTCAGTTGGTCAGAGAGGTTTTAATGCTATACCAAGAATCAAATCTCCTAATAGCTTAAGCTATGAACTGGAGGACTGGAGACTTAGTTATGGGATTTACATTTCTAACATAATTTATGGGAAATAGACGGAACATATCTGAGATGTTGGTGATAATACCAATGTTCTACCACCTCAACATGTCAAAGATGAAATCATTGTCAGCTTGCATTAGTTCATTTATGCTTTTAAGGTGGCATTGGCGTGTTGGTACTGGTTAATTGACAACTATCATTAATGTGTGAAGGGAACGTAGTGTTAAAGGCATAAACAAGGCCGTGATTTATGCGGAAGACCATATTCCTTCCTTCTGTGGGGAGGAGGTATTTTGGAACAAAATATTCCCAGGGATAAAGTACTACTGAAGTGCTCCAACAATGCCCAATTGCCAATCCTCTAGAGTGCGACTAATGAGGGCCACTGCCTTGTGCTCTCTAAATGATGCTATGGGTTAGAGAGAAACAACCCTTTCATCTAGGGAAATGTGACATTACTGGATAGGTAGGCTTTTGAGGGATTACTAGTTAGGATTTTAAATCTCCTTTCCTCCCTATCTTCTTTTAATATTATCCACCATGAACCTCTCCATTTCTAAACTTCTCTCTTCACCTTCAACTTCAAAATCTTTCCATTACCTCTTGCAAGGCTTGGCTAAGAGTGTTTAGAAGGATTTTTGAGAGTTTCTCTACTGAAAATAAAGATTATTTTCTAGTAGAGAATTTCTTAAAAAAGTCCTTCCAGGCTTGTATCTTAACATGCTCTAAATATGCTACTTACATCTTGTCAGCTTTGTAGTTCCTAGCAAGCCCACTTGGTTCTGAGGTCTCAGCCCATGCTACTTACACTGTCCTACCCCAATATTCTTCATTGGGCACCTTTTCCTCCAAGAAAGGGATTAACAGTTTTGTATCTAACAGAATAAAATTTAACAAGCAACTACAAGAATAATTTGTTTTCAGTTATCTGGATCAGCAGCACTTTTCATGCTCCAAAGCAGCTTAGTCATGAAAATCCTATAGTGATTAAAATTTTAGAACATTTTTTCATTTTGATTTTAATCCTGCCTGGAATGTGTTTTATGTGGTTTGATTTTTTAATGGGACAAACTTGTACCTAAAATGTAAAACCTAGGTTGAATGAGTAATGTTTAATCAATAGGCATATTTAATCTGTCCAAATGGTTCAATACGCATCACTCCCTTGGGCAATATTTTTGCATCTCTTGCATCTGCTTTTATTTTTTCTTTCATAATTTTAATTTTTATTATTGCATTGAAATTGTTGTATTGGTTTAGGTGTAGTATTCTAGTTTTTCATTAAACATTCATTAAACTTGTATGTATTCATGGACCTAAAATTAGCCCTTTATATTTTGACCAGACATTCTTTATTGCTGCACTCTTGGCAATGCAATATGAGAAGGGATTGGTGAGTCTTCTGACTTCTTTTTTCAACAATTGTCTCCCTCCTCCCCCTCTCCCAGCTATTGTTGTGGCACGATCTCATTATTGATGTCATAATATCTAGTTTTCTTTGTTATTGTTTTAACTTTCTTGGCTTATATATTTCCTGATTTATGGGATTGAAATTAATCTTCTCTATGGTATATTTCCTCTCTATTGTGTTTTATGGACTAGCAAAATTCCTCTGTTTCCTATATACTTTTTATGTCTCTATGATGCTATATAGTAATTGGCTTGATGTGTAAGAAATGACAAGAATGATGCCTCTTGTGTCAATTCAATAGTTTTATTATTGAAATAACATTTGTGTAACTGGAAATCAAGTGTATACTCATTTTGGGATTGTCGTACCCACCCACTTTCTTAGTCTAACTCATTGATTATCATAGCTATGTAATTTATATTTTGGAACATAATTTTATATATTATAAGAGATATTTTATATATTGACCAGGTCCTATTGGGATCAATGGGTGCTCTTGCTCTCATGTCAATACTATCTGTTGTAATTGGCCGAATCTTTCAATCAGTGCCTGCTCAGTTTCAGACAAGTAAGTTGTTGCATATGGTATTTCTCATACTGATCAGATTTACCAAATTTTAGTATGTCTTTATGATGTAGGGATTTGACTCACATCACTTTCGTCAATGCATTATACTGAAGTACTGATTTAGTGTAATATGTTTGATAAACACAAATTAAGCATGCAAATGAATTAATATTTTGTTTACGAATTGGAGTTGGAAAATTATTATATTATATTATATATATATATATATATATTTTTTTTTTCTGAAAATTTTCACAAGTTTTACTGTTTAATGAGAACTAGAAAGAGGTTTTCTGTCTTTATGTTCTCTTTCATACTATGGCTTGGTATGTCTTCTCTAATTATCTTCACATATTTTTGTCATATTGTAAATCTGTTTTGATGTGCAGCAGTCAGTATTTGACTTCCTAAAATTAGGCATTTAATTAAACTAGCTCCAACTGGTTGTACACACTACGTATTGTCTAAAGGCTTTGGAAGCTCTGTTCAAACTGACACTTTGATATGCTTTAAAGAGAAAAATATTGCCGCTGATACTGTACAAAAACAACCTTTTTCACTGTTCTCATTTTCAATCAAAAGCTGATGCAGTCTGCCTCTTGCATCTACTTCTGAAATAAGGAATCAGAACCCTCTTGAAAAGCAATTGTTAATTTGGAAACATTGTGTTGGATGAGGGTCATCCTGTCTATGTCATTGACGTCAATTCCCTTGGAGTTTAATTTACCAAAATACCCTTGGAAACCCAGTCTTTTCTAATAGAAACATTAGGAATTTATGTAGTTTGGAACATGAAAAATAGTCCAATTCTTCTAAGTTCATGGTTGTTTTAAGTATCTCATTGGAATGCAAGCTACAGTCACATTGATATTAATTGACCTGGCCATTCTTAGGTTCCTATATGAGAGAGCTTAAATTCTATTCATCTGCAATAAGTAGCTTAAGGTTATCAGCTATGAAGCCTAGATACTTAATACGACACAAGTACGATACAACATGGATATGGGGATTCAAATTTTATTTTGAAATTAAGGATATGATACGTCATGATATGTTAAAAAAAATAGAAAATTTTATATAAATATAAAATATTGATAAAAAGGCGAGAGAAATGTGTCTTTGTGGAGTATGCATATTAACTTTTAAAAGGTTTTTTCCATTTAAAAATTTTAAAACTAAAAATAAAAATTTAAAATATTAATAAAACAAACATTTGGGCACAAAAAACATATCCAAGCTGTATCACATGTTATAAAGTCGTATCTGGCCATTGTGAGCCGTATCCAATAATTTTTTTTAAAAAAATAAAAAATAATCGGATACTCCTTGGATTTGTATCCTAGTGTATTTGAGCCGTATCGGTGTCTGACACAGGTACAACACCAATACTTTTCCATTTTTGGAGTATCTAGGCTTCATAGGTTATCAGTGTATCAATCTGTCTTCGTTATTCACTTTACTTGTCACATTTTTTTTCAACTCTTGTTCAATACACTTGGCTTCAGTCAGGTAATCTGTAGTAATGATTTCTCTTTTTACCCTGGCACTGGCCTAGAGTTCATCTAGATTATTGGTTATGATAGTAACTGATGTTTCTGCTTTGTGTGGTCTACTTACAGCCTTGCCAATTGGAGAATATGCAGCAGTAACTCTTCTTTTGTTTTTCGGTCTAAAATCAATAAAAGATGCGTGGGATCTTCCATCAGATGTGGTTAAGAAGGGTGATAACAGCAGTCCTGAACTTGATGAATTTGCTGAAGCAGAGGAGCTTGTGAAAGAGAAGGTTTGAACCCTATGCATGACCAAGGGTCCTGGAAATTTGTGCAGATCTAAATTTTGGTTATATTTATGATACGCAAACCCTAAACCCTAAACTCTGATATATGCAATGCTGGCGGCATATGTGGTTACATTATTCTACCTTTATATTGCCAATTGAACTGTCATTTATACACTTTAACCATGTATTTCTAAAATATCTTTAGGTGTCGAAACGACTTTCAAATCCACTTGAGATTGTTTGGAAATCATTCAGCCTTGTATTTTTTGCTGTAAGTCTCCTCTTCTCATATCCTTTGTATCGATGAACAACTTGGCATATATTTCTGATTGTAAAATCATCACTTTAATAAAACAAGTGTATTGATGCATTGTGAAAATCTTACAATATGTTGCATTTGCTCAAAATGTTTCCCCTGATCTCCACAAGTATAGGTAACCTGAAATTGATCTTGTTACTTTTGTGTTGATCTTTAGGTCGGAATGCCAACTCTAAATACTTATTTCTCAGTTGAATTTTAAATTTCAAGTTGGTTGCAGTGATTAATCAATGCTTCTTATATAGAATAATGTAGTTATATTGGTTTGTGTTATCAGGCATGAATTTTAATTTAGTAACTGGAATTATGTAGGAATGGGGAGATCGCTCTATGCTCGCAACAATTGCACTAGGGGCAGCTCAGGTGCATTTTTAAAATCTTAGATAACCCAACATCTTTTGCTTTATATATTAACCTCAATATTATTTTATTCTTATCACTTTTCAGTCTCCTTGGGGTGTAGCAAGTGGAGCCATTGCTGGACACCTACTTGCAACATCTATTGCTATTCTTGGAGGAGCATTCCTGGCTAACTACATTTCTGAAAAACTGGTACTAGTCATGACCTGATTGGACATTGAATGCTTGAATTCATAATAACTAATGAAAGTTTCTTTATTTTTCATCAGGTTGGCTACTTGGGTGGAGGGCTGTTCCTAATTTTTGCTGTGGCCACCTTTTTTGGTGTTTTCTGATTCATTGCTGCCAATCCTTCAATCCTTTTTTTGTGTGCAATATATCACTGATGGAGCTAAAAGGATAATACATGGACAGATTGCTGAGAGAACAGAGAAAAATTTATTTTAACTTTGTTAAAGATTTCTTGAGTAGACATTAGGAGCATATTGCTCACATGGTTAGGGAATAAGAAGCATGAAATCTGCTGTAAGAGTATGAAGAGAAACATGGGTAATTCTTTCTAGAGAATAGTTTTTTTACGGTGTGCTTATTTGTAGTATTAAACAAACTACATCTATAAGATTCAAGAAACTTGTAATGTAATGTAAGCTTGTTTACTGAATATTTATGAGTTTTCACTTGTTAGGATATTAAGGATGTGTTGGTTTCAATCATAGTGTTTTGTGATTAGTTGCTTTAAAAGATTTTGACCATTGCTTAGTTGTAGAAAGTAGATTTTACAGTTCTGTAACGTGTGTTTAGAATTTGTTTTTAACTTATGTATGAAGGGATGCATATTTTTTAAGCCATTGCTTAGAGGGTATTTGGTATTGGGTTACAAACAAAGTCTTAGATTATTGGATGATGAGAAGAAATAAAGGAAGTATACAATTTTCATAGTATGGAATTACTCAAAATTATCACAAAATGGGTACAAAAATACAATATAGAGTTTAGTTGACGCATGATGCAAGTTAAATTAACTATGGGTAAATATAACCATGGTTAATTATCTTGTACTCAAGTTAACTAACTCTAGTTAAATGTCTACAAGTCTAGTTAGTTGTCTAGAAGTTTGTAAAGTAAGCTAAGCTAATCCTAGTTTAAGAATAACCTAGGTTAGTTTAAGCTAATTCCAACTACTTAATCTAATCATTACAATTACAAGACTAATGATTACTTTTAACAAATTTGTTGAGATATCACTACCAAAGTTATGTAACTTAATTTGTAGCTTGGATGACAAATTTGACATGGTTTGGACAACCAAACCACTTGCATGGGCAAGTGGACATCCAGACCTATGGGCCATAAAATGATTTGGGTCATCCAAGCCCAAATAAGCCCAAATAAGCTTATAGCTCCACAGAAGCTTAGGTATTCTATCTTCACCTTGAGTCTACTCCTCTTGCATTCTTCTTGACATTATGCTTGTTAAAGGTTCTATGATCTTCAAGAATGATTTTCCATCAGCATGACAAAGCAAAATTAATGATGCATAATCTACTTTGTAGTAACAAAATATTTTATTCATTAAAAACTTTCATTTGTAGTTTAGATACATTCTACACATTGAACCATTGAAGTTGACTTAGTAGTGATGATTGAGTTAATATTTATAGGGTCTTAAGTTTGAACCATGTTATCATCATTGTAATTTTTATATTAAATAAAATACATTCTACACATTTATTAGTTGTGACTGAACCTTTGACTAAATTTTTCAATAACAATAAATAAATATTAATAAAATTAATTAAAAAAATACATTCTACACATTTATTAGTTGTGACTGAACCTTTGACTAAACTTTCCAATAACAATAAATAAATGTCAATAATGTTATATTTAAAGAAAAAAAGATGAATTATTTTAAAAAGTGTGATAAAAAAAATACTAATCGAAAGTAATTTGAAAATGGTCAACTTTATTATTCTAATGTTAATCAAATAGAGAATTAAAATAATCTAAATTTCTAAAAAATAAGTAAAAAATGAAGAAATAAAGGTAAATTCTCTAAGGTGAAAATTGATCGTTATAGATTTCATTTTTTTTATATCCCTCATGATAAGAAAGTTGTAAACAATAAGCAATGAAGAATGAATCTTATTAATTAAGCAATAGACACTACACCTTAAGAGAGTATCAAAAGCTGTGAGCTAACTAATTTTACAACCAAAATATGACAACCAATCAAATGAAGATCTTCGGTGGCAATTTTGAAGTCCACCCTTCTTTATCAATAAAAGAGATATCTAAGAATTGATCAAGTGTAACTCCACTTATGTGCTTCAACCAAGTCACACGTTTTGACATATTTGCTCCAGGTCCTGTATTTCCCGCCTCCACAAATGTAATGGTTTCTCTGTAGTTAAGTTTGTTTCAACACGTGAATGCATAAAATAATGTTAGTGAATGAACTATATGTCTTCTAAAACGAGAGGTAGATTTAGAAAGAAAACAATATCTTATTTAGACTCCTCTAAAGTGAAGGGAATATAATTCATAAGATAAAGTATAGTTATTGTTTATTTTTTAAATTAACAATTATAACTATAATTTATTATCATTTTCAGAAGCCAAATCCAAATTAAAATACATAAAAAATTGACATAAAATTGTTGGGATACAAACAAGTCTCACATCGATAAAATAAGACAAGAAATAACAACTTATATAATACAAACATACTTCGTCACCCAAAGCGGAGCGGACAATATCCCATCATTGTGGAGTATGTTTGTGTAATAACCTTATAAAAATAATTCATAAAATATCTGCATGAAAGGTTAGGTCCCTTGTTTGAGAAGAGGATTGTTGGGATACAAACAAGTCCCACATTATAAAATAATACAACAAATAACAAACAAGTCCCACATCGATAAAATAATACAACAAATAACAACTTATATAATACAAACATACTTCGTGACCCAAAGCGGAGCGGACAATATCTCATCATTGTGGAGTATGTTTGTGTAATAACCTTATAAAAATAATTCATAAAATATCCTCTCAGACAAATATCATAAAATAACAAGTCCCACATCGATAAAATAATACAACAAATAACAACTTATATAATACAAACATACTTCGTGACCCAAAGCGGAGCGGACAATATCTCATCATTGTGGAGTATGTTTGTGTAATAACCTTATAAAAATAATTCATAAAATATCCTCTCAGACAAATATCATAAAATAACAAGTCCCACATCGATAAAATAATACAACAAATAACAACTTATATAATACAAACATACTTCGTGACCCAAAGCGGAGCGGACAATATCTCATCATTGTGGAGTATGTTTGTGTAATAACCTTATAAAAATAATTCATAAAATATCCTCTCAGACAAATATCATAAAATAACTCCATCAGTAGTATCAATAAAATAACCCCATCAGTGGTATCAAAGCCTGGTTGGATTCGGTGACAACCAATAATCCCATAAAAACTCAGTGGTATCAAAGCCTGGTTGGATTCGGTGACAACCAATAATCCCATAAAAACTCATAACATATAATGTGCTATATAAAAGACAGATTCCGATAATCCCATAAAAACTCATAACATATAATGTGCTATATAAAAGACAGATTCCGCAGGTCCCTTATAATACAACAAATAACAACTTATATAATACAACCATACTTCAATGATATTGAGAGACCTATGTTTGTGTAATAACCTTATAAAAATAATTCATAAAATATCCTCTCAGACAAATATCATAAAATAACCCCATAAAAAATAAATATCTTACTCATGGCCAACAAAGGTACGAGCATTCCAACCTTCGGGTGCTACGACATCTGATAGGAATGAGTTTGCTATGATGACTCTTGCATAAGCCCTTAAAGATCTTCCTAGTAGAGCCTGTCCTCCTGTCCCGCTCACGTTACAATTTTTAAAAACAAATCCACTGCTATCAGTTGGTGAGTTCCTTTCTTGTGCCGTAAAACATCCATTCCTCATGGGACCATTTTTTCCCAATGAAAAATATAATTGACTTGCCTATATTTTCACACAAGTTTTCAATCAATTACTACTTGTGATGAATACCAATAAACCGTACGTGTGTATATTATGCGAGACTTAAATTTCAAGAATAGTTGTCCTTAATAAAAGTATAGAAGTTGGCTAAAAGGAAATCATTTAGCCATAAAATTTGAACTAAACATACACTCTTAAAATAGTAAAGAAATTAGAGGAGGGTTAAAAACACACTTCTTCTAATACATACTCTATTATTTTTTAAAATTTATTAAAAATTATACAATTAAGATAGAAAAAATTACTAAATAAAAAGTGAGACCAGAAAAATATTTTTTTAAAAAAAATAAATTTTAGTCAACATTAAAATGTATATCCAAAAAATGATATTATAGTGTGTTGCTATCTTTCCTCAATAAATTAATTATTAAAAGAGTATAAAATGAAGTTAATTTTATTTTACCTCAAAGATTGATTGACCATTCCCAAATATGAAATCAATCCCACCTTGAATATAGCAATTACGATAATAATGACGACCATATTCATCATATAAGGTGTCTTGCACCCCTAAAAAAGAACAATTAAAAAAAGCGCATTTATCTCCATGAATTCGAGCTGCTACAGCTTGTGTGATATTTGCATCTTCATCTGATATAGGCAAGTTAAGTGTATTCTGAAAATAAAAAAAATATAAATATAAAATCCTTATTTAATATAAACAATGAGTATGCTGTTCTCTCATAATAAGTATTGTTAAGATTTTTTCATAGACTATAAAAAATTAATAAATAAATAAATAACAATTTCATAAGATTAATCTTATAATTGATTATATTATGAGAAATGAAAAAACATAATAACAATTATTTTAATAAATATTATCAAGTGTATACATAAAAATAAAGTTATTAGTATTATATTGAGAAATTAAAGCAACACTTATTTTAAGAATATTTTTTCTTTTTACACAACACCGGCTATAAAATTGATGTAATAAACAAATATTTTAAAGTGTCGATACCTTGAAAGTAATGTCACTTGCAATAGTATTATTTGCTTGGGAATAAAAAGCGGCACTAAGATTAGGATGGACACTCCATTCAATACTCGTTAATTTGCTACCAGCTCCTTCTAGATAAATGCATGGTTTGTTCATTGGAATTAAGACCTGTTCTCTGGATTTCACCAAGTACATAATGTACAAGTTTATTAACACAAAATAAAATGTTGCGAAAAAAAAATTTAAAACATGTTGGAGATCAAAGAATTCACATTAAACTTAACATAACTAAGCATACAAAGAAAAGAACATGCGTGAATAATTCAAAAACTTCCTACAAAATGATTTTATTTAATTTATTAGATAAAATTGTACTAATTAGAAAGACTTGAAGGAAGATTTGGAAAATATTACGAATAAACACCAGCAGAAATTTGGATGTGAATCCACTGAGAGTTTTGTCCTTGAACAGAGTCAATGGCACTTTGAATTGTTTGAAAATCTGCTTTGCCTGACTTGCTAACCGTAATTGTCTTGGGTGGATTAGTACAATTTTGGGACTCACAGACACTGCAAGCAATTACTAACAACATGAAAATGAACAAAAAAGATTGTGGGAATTGCATTTTTCTTTTCTTTTTCAGGATACAGGTGAAAGATAAGATCTGAAGAATGCCTTTAGTTTTATTATGAAGAATTGATATTGTTACTAGTTATTTTGAAAAAAAATATATTTGAATTTAGTCTTCTCTCTTTTTTCATGAAAGTTTTTAAATAACAAGAAAGAGAGAAACCATTTCAATACTAAAAGAAAAATATGCGATTTTAATAATTAAGATTTTGACCAAAAGTAATCCAAGTGAAAATTTAAGAGAATCCATAAGTAAAATGTATAAAGAAAATTTATACATAATTAATGGCAAGATCATATTTTACATAAATATTTGTTTATGGTTATTAATGTAAAAGAAATGATATTATTACTTTTATTATATGAAAATGTATGTATATTATTTATAAAGTTAAATATGTTTTTAGTCCATATAAAATGAATAACTTTTTATTATGTTGTATGAATGATGGAGGACCATCCTTGAAGACCATATGATTTTTGACAAGGTCTATGGTTAGGAGGCTAGAGGAAGCTATTAGAGAGGATGATATGATTCTTGAGCATAGAGTATGTGTTCTCCTATTTGCTTAGTCTCCCATTGTATATATTGTATAAGACATTTTTGACCTTGTATTTTGGGTTAAGTAGCATAGGAATTTTTGTCTTCGTATAATTTTTTTTAAGGGTGTAACTAGCTTAAGTCATATACTTATTTGGGCTTGGAACCCAAACTTTTTCCTAGGCCCATAGGTTTGGACGTCCACTTGCTTAGGCAAGTGCAAGTGGTTTGGACGTCCAAACCTAGCCAAATTAGCCATCCAAGTTGTTAAATAAGTCACATGATTTTGATAGTGACATCTCAACAAACTTGTTAAAAGTAATCACTAGTTAGCTAGTTCTCATTATTAGGTTAGGTAGTGATGGAATCATGCCAAGGCTAAGAAGACCAAGAGGTGATACATTAAAGGAACCAAGAGGAATGAAATGATTTTGAAGACCTTTCATATGATTCTGTACATAGAAGTTACTTGTATAGGTTTATTTTGCCTTTATATTTGTAAGACATTTTATTTCCTTTTTATAGAATATTCTATTGTGTATTTAGGGTAGGTTCTTTGGAGAATTTTGCTCCATTTGACCTTGTATTAAAGGTCACTCATTTTACATTTTTCAGTAGTAAAAATAGGGTGACAATTAGTAAGGAGTGTAGGTGCAACTAGTAAATGGGTCAGAGTTGGGCCTAGGCCAAATTTTACATATTGGACTTATTTTGTTCCATATTTTCCAAGGAATTGATTTAGCTAGGCCTCACCATCATTTAGTGAACCTAACTAAACCAATTCCAAGATTTTTGGATTGGATTAAGTATGGAAAATTTGCCTTTGGCCGCCCACCTCATCCTTGGCCGGATTTGCTTGTTCATTTGGCTTCTTTGGGAAGCTTGTGCTACAAGCTTCTAACTTAGCTTGCTTCCCAAGCTTCTAAGTTAGAATCTTGCTCCACAAGCCTCCCAAACTAAGGTGGATGGTTAAGCTAAGCTAACCTTGGTTCTCTTGAACCATGGTTAGCCTAGCTTGCTCCATAAACTTGCCTTGGCCAAATTTACTAGTATACCTTGTACCCTGGGAAGCTTGTGCTACAAGCTTCTAACTTAGCTTGCTTCCCAAGCTTCTAAGTTAGAATCTTGCTCCACAAGCCTCCCAAACTAAGGTGGATGGTTAAGCTAAGCTAACCTTGGTTCTCTTGAACCATGGTTAAGCTTAGCTTGCTCCACAAGCTACCTTCTTCTATATATTCTTTTCCTTAACATTTTTAATCACTTTTGACACTTATGAATCCGAATTTTCTCTCAAAATTATCTCATGTTCAAGAGTCATAGCCGTGGAGAAACTCTCTCTCTTAGGAAACCTTCACAAAACACTTTCTCCTTTGTGCCTTGGTTTCTCTTCTCTTCTTCTTCTTCAAGAAGAAACTGAACCATAACTGTGGCTTCTAACAAGCTTTTGAAGCTTGTCTTGCTTCTGTATTGCACCATTGAAGAACCTCAAAGAGCTAGATTGGGCGCATGGATGGAGCTTGAAGAAGAACAACAATCACTTCTATAAGGTAGTTGGAGTTAAATTAAGCTAACCTAGGTTACTTCTAGACTATGATTAGGTTAGCTTGCTCCATAAGTTTCTAGAGAGTTAACTAGGGTTGGTTAGCTTAAGTACAAGATAGCCAATCATGGCTACACTTGATTATGGTTAGTCTAGCTTGCACCATAAGCCAACTAACTCCTATATATAGGATTTCCTTGTATTGGCCGAAACTTACTTTGAGTATATATATGAATTGGATGAATTTTCTCTAATTCTCTCTTTCAAAGCTTGTTTCTCTCCTTGAAACTTGATCATTTTCTTTTATCCTCTTTTGAGTGTGGTGAGAATTGGAGGGACTTATCATTCACATGAGTGAGGTGTCACCAAGGAAGTTTCCTACCCTTCCATGTGTGTTTAAACATGGCTTCTAACACCTTAGGAAGCCATTAAAGAAGCTAGAAGGAGACAAAGAAGAGAAAGATCTGTTCTAGAAGCTTGAAGGAGGAATTACATCAATCAAATTTCTCCTTGGAGTTTCTATCATTTGGTATCAAGAGCAAAGTCTTCTTGGTAATCTCTTTCCATAACTTCACTATGTGTTTTCTTTCGGTCAAATGTGTTTGTTTCTTGATTGTCTTGTGTTGTATGATTAGAATTGTTCTTGTGTCACATATATAAATCTATAGAACAATTCACTTTGTCTTGTAGTTTTTTTTATTCATGCATTAATTCATATGAATCAATCTTCATTGTGTGTGTTTTAGGTATTCTATGAACTAGCATTTTTCTTTTTAAAGTCTTGCTTATATCTTGTTTGGTTCCATTAAAAATTCGGTCAAAAAAAATCCTAAAAGAAAAGTGTAAGATTATGTGCCTTTTCAATTTTCTAATTCATGTAGTTTTGTCTAGTTATCTTGTTTAGTACTTATATGTCATTACTTCCATTGTGTTCCTTTTTTTCTGAATCTTTGAACATTATTCCCTGTTTTTATGTCAGAAACATTGTTGGCTTCACATAATACAAATCTTAGAAGTGCTCATTATATGAATCCTATGCATGTTATTAGATCTAGCAAGTTCTAGTATCATATTTTTGTGAACTTCATTTGCTAATTCTTGCTTAACAATTTAAGGCTAGCAATTCCATTGAGTCATTTGTGCCTTAATTGAACATTAAAACCTGAATAGAAAGTGAGAGAAAAACAATTAAAAGAAGTGTTCAAAACCTAGAGAAAACTATAAACAAAACTAGTCTTAAATGTCTTTAAAACTTCTCTAGTGAAATCCACATTTTCTATAGTAGTTTCCTCCACCACTAATTAGTCATTTATTCCTAGTTCTATACTCTATTTTCAGTGCTCACATTCAGTTTTTTTAAAGAAAGAGCCAAGAAGGAAATTAAAGAAAAAGAACCAAAGTATACAAAAGTTTGTGAAAAAGTGAAAAGAAAATAAAACAAATTTTATAGCACTTGGTATTATATTTTTGGAACTTGTTTTGTGGCTTTACTCTCTGTTTTTGGTGGCCAGATATACCTTCTAATTGTTCAAATTAATTGTACAAATTTTTGTTTCATTTTGTAATAAACTCTCAAAGCATTTCTAAGACTTTTCCTTTGCAAGCTATAGTTGAAATTGTCCTTTATTTTCTTGTTTTGTGTCTTTTAATATTCTACGAGTTTGTCACATTTCTTCCTACTTGAGTTTAGCCTTTCTTAATTGTGTCTTTTCAGTTTTGGTTGTTTTCTTCTTGTCTCTCTTGGTGTGTTGTGCATTCTTGTGGTGTAGGTACACTTTCAAGGACTTATGACTTGATAGATTTGGATAATTTGAGATATATTGGATTAACGTCAAAGGGGGCAACAACTTTGAGAGATTGAGGTACCTCCAAACATGGGAGAAACACCTTTAGTGAGGCTAACTTGGGTGTTCATTTTGCAGCAAAAAATTTTTGTTTGAAGGAAGGAAGACTTAGGGACGAATTTAGTGACCAAATTGTTCCAGTGAAGAAAATCTATCACACCTAGAGACTAACTTAGTGACGAAACTGTTCCAATGAGAAAATTAGTCACAAAATTAGTCACCAATTTTGTCTCCAAATTGGTTTCAAATTTTGTTTTCAATTGTTTGAATTATATTTCATTTTCATTTTAGTTGTAAATTATTTAGTTTCATTTTTGGTTAATTTCTTTGACATTTCTTGTCTTCCTAAGCTTAAAATTTACATTTAGGAGTGTTTTGGGAAGCCTTTAAAGTTATCCTACCTCTCGTAAATAATATTAGTGAAACTTACTAATTTGTTTAGTACTTTTGAAAATGTTCTAAGGGACTCTAAGTGTTACTTAGACTTTTATCTTAGGGAAAAACAACTAGTATATTTTTTATTGTTTACCTTTACTTGTTTTACATTAATATACTTGTTAAGGGCGTTCTTCTTTAGTTAAACTCATTTAAAAGGCTATTTTCTTGCCTACTACACTACAAAAAAAGGCATTTAGCGACAACCAAAATCGGTCGCTAAATTGCTTAAATCGATCGCTATTTACCTTAGCGACCGAATGTAAGTAGTTGCAAAAATCCTGGTCGCAAAGCTATATAGCACCCTAAATATCATAAGTTGTTATTTAGCGACCGAACGTTTCGGTCGCCAAAATGGTCACTCTTGTATATGGGGACCAAATTGGTGACCGAACCAAACGTCGCTAAATCGGTCGCTTAATATTTATTTATTTATTTTATTAAATTTTATAGATGTCGCAAATTCAGTCGCTTTAAGTTTTATTCCGTCCCAAATTCAGTCACTAAGTTTGTTTTATTTTGAGAGACAGGAAAATCGGTCGCTAAGTTTATTTTAATTTTAGAGACAAGAAAATCGGTTGCTAAATTTATACCTGAAGCACTAATTATTTGATTTTATTTTAATTTCCATTTTGAACC